GTGATTTGAGCCATTTCCAGAATTCATTTGTAAAAGGAGTAATTTCTTTCTGCAAAGCACCACATTTCTTTATTAAAAAAGGGGTGAGGAATGGAGGTTAGTCATGTTGTTTACTTGTTCTGTACCCACTACCGAATTTATCATCTGTCAGAGTAATTTAGAGATTATCCAGAGGCAGTATACTAATGTGTAATTCACATTTATCCCAAGAACACAATGGCCAAGTAATACCATCTTATGTGCAAATAGCTCACACAAAGTACAGTAATGAAGCAGTAGTTTGTCTGCAGATAATTTTTCCCTTCATAATTTGCCCATTATTTTTGTTGGTGCTGTGTTGCACAGAGGCCTGTTCATCTAATCCTACTCTGCCCACTGCTGTTTACTATCTGATAATGACTGGTGGTGGGTAGGGTGGGATTAGGTGATCAGGGCTCTTACAGGCAATTGCTGTACACTTTGTATGTGTAACATGGTATGGTCTGCTGGCATAGAAAATCAAAGAGCTCAGCCTGTGCCTGGGCGAGTGCTTTTACCAGTCAAGCCACACAGGAGAGCCTTGGTAGAGCAGTGTTTGATCTTGATTGCTGTGAGATGCAAACAGTCTCTTCTGCACAGGAGTCTTTCAGAAAATGTCACCAGCAGCCTCTCGCTGCTTCACTTCCAGGCCCTGAGAGTTTCTGGTCTCCTTCTTCACTGACGGTCTTTAGCCACCTGCTTGCATCCATCCAAACAGAGGAAATCAGTACACAATTGCAACTCCCGTGACAGAAATTAGAACCTTTGATTCTGGCTGCAGTTTATCTCTTTTGTGCTCAGTTTTTTTTTCTCCATTTTATTATTTTTGTCCCAGGTTCTGTATGTTTGGGAGGTGTTGTATGAGGACTTTAGGTTGAGAACTGCTGTTGTAGACCTTCTGTTCTAAAGCCATAGCTGAACTTTGCTTAGTCTCAGTGTACCCCACTTTGAAAAACTGTTAAAATATGATTTAACAGTGAAGGGGCATTGTGGTAGTAACCAAGATTTAACATGATGGATATTAGATCATAAGGGATTTCTACAGGAAAGTGTACATTACCTAACATCATACTCTGGAAGGCAACTTAAAGTTTGGGTCCACATTTAGTTTTCTGACTTATATAGTCAGTGTTTTAAAATTGGATTTAACAAATGTATGTTGGGTTATATGCAGTATGGGGGCACTGAGGTTAGCATCGCTGCTTTGCAGAGCCAGGGCCCTGGGCTCAAATTCCTGGGCTGCTGTCTACGTGGAGTTTGTATGTTCTCCACATGTTTGTGTGGTTTTCCTCTGGGTGCTCCAGTTTCCTCCCACAGTTCAAAGATATGCTTTAGGTTAATTGGCATCTGAAAAATTATCCCAGGGGTCTTGCTGTAGGAGTGTGTGTGTGTGTCTGTGTTTGCCCAGTGATGGTCTGGTGTCCCATCCAGGGTGTATCCCACCTTGCGCATGTTGCTTGCTGGGATAGGCTTCAGCTCCCCAGCGATCCCATATTGGAAGAGGCAGCTGGAATATGGATGGATGGAATTCTATTTTACACAGGTGATTTTTGACGGTGTCTTTAGTGTTTGTTCCTACAGTAAGTGAGGGATGTGCTCTCTCTCTCTGAACTGCCACGGAAACACACTGGGTGTGGCAGGTGAGAAGCAGAGATGATCAGCAGGCAGAGGCGGGGGTCTTTGTGACAACACAACCCGAACTGAAGGAGTTACCGCTCGCATGATTGGGCGTGCAGTCCTTCTTGTGTTTCCTAGCGACTTGTTCCTGAAATCCAGTTTTCTGCTTAGAGGGGGCAGTGGTTGGATGATAACTCCCCTACCCCCTCAGAGAGGTTTTTGACTTGTGTCAGACACAGACACAGGAGAGGACAGGCATCTGAATGTTTGTTGCTATTTTAAGTTTCCTACAGCCCTGGCACACAACTCCTCTCTTTGGCCTAGTTCACAGATGCTCTTCGCAGTTAATTGTCACCAGTCTGAACTGAGTAAATACAGACCTGCTAGAAATCCTCCTTCTTTGTGTGATAATCCTTAGGTAGTGATGTAGACGCTACTTGGATTTACTGTTTTCAGGTGGGAGTGACTCTGACTTCTGTTGAGCAATGGATTCTGGCACTCTTTGCAGTGCAGTATTTTCACGAAGGAAATCCTGTTTGAACTTTTACCTTTTAAAAGTTTATTTGAACAGTGGTTACGTGGGTCACTGTGATAATCACTCAGAGTTTATTTAACTTCTCTTTATTCCCAGGCTTGTTGCTGAACTGTTGACAATATGGCATATTGCATTTTTGTGCAGTTTTACATAGTTTTAAAATATTAGGTGTAGCTGAATTTACTTATAAACAATTTACAGTACCCTTCATTGAAAGTAACTAGATGTGATTAATATTAATACCTTGTCAAACCCTTTTATGAATCTCAGAACATGTTTCATAGCATACCAGTTAATTGACTCAACAAAATAATTTTGCGTCTTAGTTTGTGGAACCTCTTTGCATTTACAAGGAAACTTACATTTCCATAAGCTTGATTTCCTAATTCCTTCTGATTTGTTTAATGGAATTCGCTGCCCTTTTCAAAATTTTACCTAAAAGATTACGTTTTCAAATCTCTGTGCTTGTCATGCATAGTGTTGATATCCTGGGACATGCCCTTCAGTCTCTGCTGGTTGTGAATGAATTAAAGTTGCTGTATGAAATTTGGCAATAATAATACACTATAGATATCTACAAACCAACACATGATCTTTTACGGTCTTTTTATGATCGTGTTTTGGATGCATTGTGGACCTCTGTGTACCAGACTTTTTTTTAAGATCACTTTATTGGCCTTATACTTCTTGTATTAGGAATTTGTCTTTTCGCATACCCAAACTTGCTCTCCATGAGACACACAGACAGGGAGAGAAGCTTGGGGTCAGAGCACAGAGTCAGCCATTTATACGGCGCCCCTGGAGCAGTTGGGGTTAAGGGCCTTGCTCAAGATTCCTCTGCTGGCCGTTGGATACGTACCGGCAACCTTCCAGCCACAGCCTCAGATCCTTAGCCACAGAGCCACCGATATCCAAACAGAGTGAATTAACATTATTGTGCCATTAAACCAAGGTCTACTTGGTCATTAAAGATCCTGTGGCTCCTTTCATGAGTAGAAGCATTAACTAACTTAATAAGTTCATACAGTCAGGCCTTCCTCAAGTTCCATTTTAATTTATTTTCTCTCTGCTCTGCCTGATCTGCTGTGTAGAGGAGCTGCTGGTGCAAAATGGCTTTCGAGCATCACCCAAGTAGGTGCTGCACTTCAGGGATGGATGTTGTTGGTTCCCTCAATATGTGAAGAAGTTTGAGATTATAAATGCTATATAAATGCAAAGAATTAGTATGGTTTTATGAACATCAAATGGAAAATGTATAAGTTGGTTATGTCTTTGTCTCTCGGAAGAGTTAATCTTGGTATCTGATACACACATTATTAGAATTAGTCAAGTTATATATATATTTAAGAGTGGCATTATATTTTGCACTGTTGCCTCTGATCTTTTGGGTCCTGGGTTTGATTCTGCACTAGGGCACCTTCTGTGTGGAGTCTGAGTGTTCCCTGCGTCTGTCTCCTTCCTCAGTCCAAAGACATGCTGCTCATGGTAATTGGCTTCTCTTAATTGCCCCCTATTTGCATGTTTGAGTCCTGCCCCCTTGTTCCTCACTGCAGAGGAACACGATCTGAATCAGCACTTTACAGAAGTCTTGCATGTACTGTAAATGTAAATGTAAATGTGTAAGTGAAAAGGTACAGTACAAATATTCAACTTAGTATTTTTTATGTCCAACTTGTGGTTTTATGCAGTACAGGGATGTCCTACAATTTAAACCCAAATGGTATTTTTGTTTACTTTAAACTCAGTCATCAGGCTATAATGTTTTTTAGATACCTGAATTTTTCTGTACTTTATCATTGTACATTTATATCATGTCTTTATCCAAAGGAGTTTACATTTGTGCCCGTTTACACAGTTGGGCAGTTTAGCGGAGGAGTCAGAGTGACGTTTGTCACTCAAGGTACTGCAGTGCCCAACCCAGGATTCAAACCCATGACCTTCCAATTCTGAGGCCAGAGCCCTAACTGCTGATGCCCTAGCTGGAGCACTGTCCCTGCAGGCAGGCTGTCCACACTCCTCTGACTTGAACACTTGTGGGAACCCTCATTCCCCGACTCGCCTGAAGCTTGGCAGAGGAGAGCTGGAGCTGAGTGGAGATGCAGGCTGTTTTACACAAAGATGAAGGGCCCAGGCTAGCTAAGGCCCTCCCTGCCAGGTTTTTCATTAGATTCACTGATTTTATTTTTAAAAACCCTGCCAATTGCTCATCAGCCTGGCTCGGAGAATAAGGGCTGTTCATGCCATCCTCCGAGAGGCGTTATGGCGCTTTCTGCCAGCCACAGGCTTCGCAGTGGGTTCAGGAGACAAGGGCGGCAAGATTGCTCAGCCAGCAGCCCCGTGAGCTCGGAGACACTGGCTGTGGCTGTGACTGTTCTGCGGGAAGATGGGAAGGTTTGGGCTAAATCAAGGCCGCTCCGCCCCAGAGGCTGATCGTGCTCAGTTTCCGGGGGAGACAACTGACAAAAGCTGATAAAGTCAAGGTCAACGATCACATGAGTTCCGAAAAGTCTTTTTTTCTGAAGGAGTCAGCTGTCCAGCTTCTGTAATAAAGAAAGCCAGCATTCAAGGTGTGTTTTTTTCCTGTTTGTCCTTCCATCCAATCTCTAACCACTTGGACAGGACTACCTCCTGGACAAGACGCCCGTCCATTGCAGTTTCTGTTTCTCGTTTAGTTGATCCGTTTGCACTAATTGGGGGCATCACAGATTTTGCACTGAGCCTACATGTTTAGGTTAAAAGGGCTGTGTGCTCCATTAGGGATGGAGTTGGGGGAGATTTTCCGGGCTGGCGCCGTCGCCTCGATCCTGACCCTCCCGTGTTCTCCCTGCAGGGATGCGACCCCCTGGCACAGACGCAGCGCAGCAGACTGCAGCACCGGCGGGTGAAGATCAACCAGCAGATCAACAAGGAGATGAGGATGCGGGCCGGAGCCGAGAACCTCTTCAGGTGAGGCCCAGGGAGTCAGGCCCAGCAGGACAGGGCTGAGAGGCAGGAAGCTAGCTGGTGTCTTAACAGGTGGATTTTGTCTGCAAGTAACTCTTGAGCCCCCAACCTCTTCCAGCCACCTGCTGAAAGAAGTTCACTCTGATAAATACCGATCATGTTTGACAAACATGTCAGGATGCATCTGTAAGCGGTAACTGATTGCATACCATATCACCCTGCAACTCACAACTGGCGACCCACTGAAGCTCAGCAGGTGTGAACCTGGTCAGTACCAGGATGGGAGACCTCCTGGGAAAAGCTAAGGTTGCTGCTGGAAGCGGGGTGTTAGTGGGGCCAGTAGGGGGCACTTATTCTGTGTGGGTCCTGATGCCCCAGTATAGTGATGGGGGCACTGTACTGTAAACAGGTGCCCTCCTTCAGATGAGACATAAAACTGAGGTCCTGACTCTCTGTGGTAATTAAAAATCCCAGGGCATTTCTTGAAATGAGTAGGGGTCTTACCCCGGTGTCCTAGCCAAATTTCCCATTGGCCTTTACCAATCATGGCCTCCTAATAATCCCCCTCTATGAATTGGCTTTATTACTCTGTTCTCCTCCCCACTGATAGCTGGTGTGTGGTGAGTGTTCTGGCGCACTATGGCTGCTGTCGCATCATCCTGATGGGGCTGCACATTGGTGGTGGTGGAGGGGAGTCCCCATTACCTGTAAAGCTCTGTAATTGGTCTTGTTAAGTCTGGTGTTCCTCAGGGCTCAATACTGGGCCCCTTGCTCTTCAGCATTTACATGTTTCCACTTGGTCAGCTTTTAAGATGGAAAGGAAAGTCCCCATTATCTGTAAAGCGCTTTGAGTGGAGTGTCCAGAGTTTCCAGTGTAAGGAATTATTGTGAATTTGATTGGGTTTCGGAAGAATCTGGAATTTTTTCTTGTGGGTTATGTTGGTGTACTTTGTCATGTCTGGCAACACTTATCTACCCTATTGCAATGTTCTTTTGTCTTTAACCTGATGGGTGTGCAGTTGCTGTAGGAACAGTATTTATTTTTTTTAAATAAACTGAAAAAGGTTTTAGGTTAGATATTAATCTGGAATTTTTGTATTAAGGTTTGAAGCAATACAGTACACAAACAGCGGATTGCATGAACATACTTTTCTTTCTTTTGCAATACTATTTTCTTTCTCTTTCACTGTTTAAAATGAACCAGAATGTTTGTTTTGTGAAACTGTTTATTGATTGGCTTGGTTGCAAGCTGTTATTAAAATTGATTCCTACCTTAATGACAGGAATGCAGAAGAATGTCTTCTTTACCTTGAGCTGTTAGCAGTCTCCTGGCTCTTCCTATCTTTAAACGCAGTCTTGGCCTATCTTTTAATTTCCTTTTAGTAAAAGCGGTTTGGCTGTTTTGGATAAGGCAGTAAGTAAAGCCTTTTGCATCCTGCTTCTCCTGAGGATATCGGAATAGTTACAGATAATGGCTCATACACTAGACTGCTTGAGACTGATTGACAGGGCTTGTGGTAGAAGGGGGTGTCCTTATTTTAAATTTCCTATACTGTTTCTTTATGCTCTCATATATGTTTTCAGAGTTACACCATACTTAACATTTGCTGTACCTTTTACAGTTCTACATACCTTCCCAAACCCCTCTATGCTCTTTCCTTCTTTCATTTGACTTCACTGTGCTTGACTACTGTGTTCCATGAGCTCTTTCCCGGTAGAACCACAATTTTCCAACATGAGCATTAGCACACAGAAACCTGGTGTCATTCAGAAGGATGGGCCTTTGTCCGTAGCATTTCTGTGTCATGTTTGTATATTTCCCGGTGGCCATTGTGACTAAAATGTGTTCTTAAGAAGTGGAAACGTAGGGGCAGACAGACAGTGTAAACTACAGTGTGGCGATTCTGTGCTGTGGTAACTTTGGGGGGAAATGCTACAGATATTCCCTTTCCCAAAAGATGAAAGAAAGCACTGTTCATTGGGAAAACAGGAAGTTAAAAAAAACAAGAAATATTTTCCATATTTAAACTCTCATAGTGTGTTATCATGCCAGGCACAGGACAGAACCACTCCACCCTGGGCTGACAGCCGAGGGGAGAACTGGCTTCTCACCTTTAGGTGAAGGCAAGCAGGCCTGCACTTTGGAAGGAGGATCATCCATCAGTCTTTGAGTAAACAGTGCACATGTAGAGCCTCCTTTCTCCTGCAGCAATAACTCTCCGACACTCCCTGTGTTCTCCGGCTAGTGGAGTGCACACACTCCTCCAGAGCTCCACAGATGTTTCAATTAGACAAGGGGCTGAAAGCAAACAAAGCACACTTTCTGCCCCTCACTGGGAAATCTCAGAGTGATTTACTTTTTCCTTTCTTAAATTGCTGTTTTCATGTTCTTTTTTCTCTCTTGCTTTAAGTGTGAACACAAGAACTTGGAATTTTTATTGCGGGTTTAAATCTGTGATGTATAAAGAGAGGAATTTCCTGTACTAATTTATTGTACTTTTAATGTCTCTTCATTATATGTAAGCCATTTTATTCTTTTGGTATTTGATTATACAGTAGCTTTGGTGACGTGGTGCATATGTGCATGTTTTAAGGAACCATCACTTGAAATTACAGTAATCCCTTGCTATATGAGTGTTCATTTATACAGGATCAAGTAATTCCTACCTGTTTCCCGTTGATGAAGATGAAGTTTGGGTGGTTTAGGGAACTTTTCTTGAGTTCCGGTAGCCAATCAGAGATCATAACACAGGAAGTAATGACACTTTAATTACCATAAAATGGGTTCTCACTTTACAAGCAAGTTTTTGAGGATCAAATTAAGCCTGTATAACGAGGGATTATTGCTGGAATGTTCTGGCTGAACTATGAGCTATACTTAAGTTAGGCTCCCCACTCCTGGTCTTAGAGGAGTAGGGTATCTATAGCAGGCGTCCACAGTTCTGGTCTTGGAGTGCCAGTGTGTCTACAGCAGGGCTCCCCAGTCCTGGTCCTGGAGGCTCAGTCAGTGTATCTACAGCAGGGCTCCCCAGTCCTGGTCCTTGAGGGCCAGTGTATCTACAGCATCCTTCAGTCCTGGTCCTGGAGGGCCAGTGTGTCTACAAGTTTTTCAAGTGTCCTTAAAACACCAGCATCTGAGAAGCTGGGAGAAACTTTTATATCCAGTTAAGCCAATAATAAGCTAATTCAAGTCATTAAGATGGGTGAAATAGCCCTTCAGGAGCAGGATTGCAGACCTGAATTAAAAAATAGTTAGAAAGGAGCATTCTTTCTGTGCCAATAATAACTGAAATGCAAGTAAAGAAGGTTGGATTAGATTAATTAAAACAGCAGTAAAACACTTATATAACACCTTCAATAGTAATTAAGCTGCCTGTATCAGTGTACAAGGCTGTCCCACACGTCTTTTGTGGAACATGCCAGCCAGCATGCCACACACCACTCCCTCTGCCTGCTAATGAAAACACAGAGCCCCGTTTTTAATTAGCAACCCAAACAGGAGGTCAGAAAATCAGCAGCATTTGGTTTTCTTTCATCAGTGACTTTCCAAACCTCTGCTGTTGGGCATGTCCTTTTCTAATACAGCAGGAAACTGTTTTTTAGATTTGCACTTGTATTGTTATATAATTTTTCCTAACAAAAAAGTGTGCCCACAAAGACATAAAATATGGTTATAAGATTTACTCTTTGGTTTTGTACTGGGTGGGTTAATCCAGTGTGCCATTTTCCAAAATGTCATGCTTCGCGCTAATTCTGCTGTTTGTTGTTATCAAAGGTAATAATCCACAGGGGGGAGTTTAAATGTAGTGTTTGAGCTGAGCCTTTTTCACAGAAAAGGTGTGTTTGTAACAGGAAAGGGCTGAAAAGCTGCCTTTCTTCCACAAAACTGAAACACAGCGCTAATCAATTAGGACTGTCATTGCATGTGTCAGTGCTGTTAGAGAGATGACCAGGGTGTCACACAGATGCTAGATTGGAGGCTGGAGAAATTGGTTTGTACTCTCATTTGAAAGAAAAACCGAGTCTACTGAAAAGGGCTTTTTTGGCGCTATTCTTTTGCCATTGCTTGAATCAGTCCATTTCATGGTATGCCCGGAAAGAAGGCATGAGATTCTGGCAGGTATGGGGTTGTGGAGGGGGATGTCCGCTGTGCTTCACTGTCTGCCCCTCTCTCGGAGGGATGACTCATTGGTATGGGACAAAGAGACAAAGCCCTTATCAGTTTTGCATCTGGTAAAGCTATTGTGAGGGAGCAACAGGGGCATAAAGAGGCCGAGTCCCTGTGACACTGAGTCAGCCAGGGCCTGGGCTTTTGTGCCTCTCTGATTGTCATGCAAAGGGTGCCACAGCAATCCTTTAAGTCCTTCCTGGAACACAGGAACACATCCCCTCGGTTATTGTGATGCTCTTCTCTTCATTATTTATTTTCTTTAAGTCGAGTTTCAGTTCTTGAGCGGCAAGGGAACCGGAGGGTTGGGGTACGAGGCTATTGTGTGATCCACTCAGGCCCTATGCAAGTTGTGCTGCACAGCTGTATTTCCCAGTGTGCTCTCTTTACTCCGTCTTTTCAGGTTCACCAGGGCTGGGAACATTTCCCAGTCTGTAAAATGGGCATTTATGATTCTTTGATTATAAATCTTTGAACTGGTTTTAAGAAGGAGGTAAAATATTCTTCTTTTTGAAAAACAGTTATGTAGAATTACATACAATACCCTGAGATGGCAGTGTAGTTTGCTTTAATTCAGTAACATAACTGAATTACATAACATGCTGTTAACCGGCAATAAACTAGCCTGAGTTGAATAACCCCCTGTAGCAGTTTTACTATTCTATGTTATTTTATCATCAAAAGCAAGGTAAGCTGGTAAGTAAAGTAACTGTATGCATGCTGATGCCAGAACGTTTCCAGATTGGGTTGTGCTGATGCTGTAGCCCATGGAGTTTTGATGTTTAAAATAATAGGCTTATATTTCTTAACACATTGCTGTGGATTCATACAGATGTGAGTGGCTGGACAAAATTTATTAGGGAGGGTGAAATTGGCTCTATTATAAAGGGAAATTCTCCTGTCTTGGCCATGACCTGAACCAGCAGAGGCCTCTCATTTCTAAGACACTAACAGGTAATGGCATATCTCCGCTTCTTGGAATCCATTTCTCCGCTAATGAGTTTGAATCCTGCTTTGAAACATAGTAGTGAAAACTGCTGAGCTTCGAAAACCACCCTCTGAAAGCATTGTTAGAAAGCAGGCATCTAAGGTAACACTTCCTGCTATGAGCAAAGTGTGACTTTAATTTGCACTTTAAAAAATAGAATCTAAATGGAATTGCCCTTCTCGGTGCGATTTTTCTCTTCCTCCTGCCTGTTCCATTAGGATGAGAGCAGCACCCTGATCTACAGGCCCGAACCTCAAGAGCCAGGCGTTTAACGAGGAGAGCCAAACGCCTTCACCCCTAATGGACTCGAGTGCTAGTATGCTTCATCTCTGTTGGATTAAAATCTATGAGTATTATAGTATTCAAATTAATTATGCCTTGCTTTTCTGCAATGGAGTTCCTGTGTGAAAATACACATTTTTAAGAGATGCAGATTTTAATCTGAGTGTTTGTGGTCCTGAGTGGCTCAACTGGTAAACATAATTGTTTACAATGTGGTGTGAGTCCAGACATTAATGTGTGTAGGTTTATGAGGGAGTTAATATCTTGGAAGTATTCAAAGTAAAGCCCCAAGGAGTACGTTTTGAAACCTGAGGCTTTAGTGTAACAAAACACCAAATTCATACAGAGCAGCTTTCTAGACCATTTGTGGAAAGGGTTCAGGTGTGCTGTGGAATTGGAAGAGAACATATTTAAAAAGTGTGGATTGAGAGTTTTGTGTGGACAAAATGTGTGAACAAAATTCTAAATGGTTCTATTCACTGAAGCAAGCTTACATTTTACATTGAAATTCTGGACAAGAAAATGAATGAATGAGCCATTTCAAAAGATTGTGGTCAATGTTTTGTCATAAATGTGTTGCTAAAGAGTCTGGGGTGTGAAAAGTGTACCTCCACTGAAAAGGCTTTTGAAGTCCTGATGTAGAGCCCTGAAGTCCACACCGGCATTCTTAGTCTAGGTTTGAATTCAATAATAGTGCTCAATTGGCTGAGCAGCACTACAAGCGCCGTCCTTCGGATGAGAGGTAAAACCATAGTCCTGACTCTCTGTGATCATTAAAAATCCCAGGGTGTTTTTCGGAAAGAGTAGGGGTGTAACCCCGGCGTCCTGGCCAAATTTCCCATTGGCCCTTACCAATCATGGCCTCCTAATAATCCCCCTCTATGAATTGGTTTCATTACTCTGCTCTCCTCCACACTGATAGCTGTTGTGTGGTGAGCGTTCTGGCGCACTATGGCTGCCGTCATATCATCAAGGTGGATGCTGCACATTGGTGGTGGTGGAGGGGAGTCCCCATTACCTGTAAAGCTCTGTAATTGGTCTTGTTAAGTCTGGTGTTCCTCAGGGCTCAAT